TTCATCCTTATTCTGCATCATAGCTCACCATTATTATTACTATTATTATTATTACTATTATTATTATTGCTACCAATCATACTAAAATCGGGAGGGTAATAGACACAGAATTAGACAATATAACATTGCAGGAGGACCTGGATAAAATAGGGGGAGGGGCAACTATATGGCAGATAAGGTTTAATGTTGATAAATGTTAAGTATTGCACTTTGGGGTTAGAAACAGTCAAGCAGGATACACATTGATGGGAACTCCACTAGGGAAGTCAGAAATGGAGATAGATTTGGGGGTCATAGTAGACCACAGATTAAATAATAGATTGCAACGCCAGGCTGCAGCAAACAAAGCAAGCAGAGTACTGTCCTGTATTAAGAAGGGGATGTATTGCAGAGACAAATCTATAATTTTGCCACTTTATAGATCGCTGGTTCGGCCTCATCTGGAGTATGAGGTCCAGTTTTGGTCAGAAAGGATGTCCTTGAACTGGAGGGTGTCCAGAGAAGGGCAACCAAACTAATTAAGGGGATGGAGGACCAGAGCTATGAGACCAGGTTACTAAATGTAAACATGTTCACGCTGAAAGTGAGGAGATTAAGGGGGGGACATGATTTTCTTGTACAAGATGTTCAATGGAAATAGCAACATCAGCCATAAACTCTTTACAGTAACCTCCATGACACGGACTAGAGGCCACCACCTTAAACTAGTGGAGAAAAGATTTCAGCACAAGGGGCGAAGGGGCTTCTTCACAGTAAGAGCGGTCAGAGTCTGGAGCTTGCTGCCGCAAGCAGTGATTTCAGCTGAGAGTGTGGAATCATCCAAAAAGCGTTTGGATGATTTCCTCAGAGACCCCAACATACAAGGGGTACAGGTACTCTTAAGAAGAAGATGACACATGGACTCATCCACACTCATACACATGTAGATTCACATGAATACACGCTATAGGTTGGACTTGGTCTTTTTTCAAACTCAAATACTATGTAACTATGTAATATCTGAACGTCTTTCTACCATACTGCCTTGTGGCCCAGCTACACTACCACTTGCTAGTCTGCATTCTCATTAAAGGAATATTAAAGCAGAACTATGGGGTCAGGGCTTTTCCCCATAGTTCTCCTTAGGGTAACGGGAGGACACAAACTAGCGTCCTCCCCTCACCCTAGGCTCAGTATATAGGGAGCTACAGCTCGCGGTATACTGAGACGCCGCAGCCGGAGCGGATCCCGACAATTATGCCTGGATCCGCCCAGCTGCATGACTGACAGCTGGCTCTGCCTATCTAGAGGCAGAGCCAGCTGTACCCGCCCCCTCCCCCGTCCGTTCCGCCAGTCAGCGCTGGAGGATCGGAGCTGGGAGCGGGGAATCCAGCCCCTCCCCTGTCACAGCAGAGAGCCGTGACAGGATCGAGAGGTGAGCGAACGCCGGTATGTGTTCTCTCACCTCCAGATCTACTGAGCCGACCTGTGACAGTCTCATTGTCACAGGTCGGCTAGAACTATGAGGTGAGTGAAAAGCACCCCCCCTCATAGTTCTCCTTTAATGCAACATAAGCAAGGGTTGATGCTAGTAAGTACTTATCAGTTAACTCAGATGGCTATTGGGAAGTACTGTGTGTTAGGCTCAATGACATTGCTGTTTGACAGTCTTTAAAAATAAACAGGAAAAAAAGCACTAATTAAATATGGATTTGTTTTCTGAACATAGTGTGTGCTAAGGGAATTGCTGCCTTAATGCACCAGAAATTCTGTAGGCCCCCGAATTGCTAATGTACACAAGATTATGTGTGAGTGGGGCATTTGAAATAATAATGAGCGCAGCAATAAAGCTGAATTATTCAATTGAATCGGTGAACTATGATTACCAATTCCCCTTTTGATGTACACTAAGTGGATTTAAATTATCAAATGTATAGAGAAAATATATTGTGCTTTAAAGGGGAACTCCATGCTTGACAATACTCTATCCCTTAACTTCCTTCATTAATGTATATGTTTAGCCAAAACCTTTTTTTAGATTGGGATAGAGTAGAAAAAGGTGAAGAGGGTTGGACATGTAATGGCGCAATGCATTACGCTGATTTTTATTCAAGGAATTCCTTATGGATCTCATTATAAAATTAATATATATATTTTTTAAATTTCTATTCTGTTTATTAAAAGTCTTGCATATTTATCACATTCTGTTCATATACATTCTCGACTCTATGCAGAGGGCAATAAAAATGTTTTGCATTAGCTACACTTCATAGAGGATCTGAACTGTGGAAGCTGTGGCCTCAAAAAGCATGGAGAGGGCAAAGAACAAGTCACCACACTATGGCCTTCTGAGCCATCTGTCTATAGCTAATAATTAACTTACCATGCTGGGTTTTGTGTTTTTTATGTGGAGGCAGCCATATTTGCAGAGGCAGGGCTTTGCTTTCCCATCCGTAGGGGCAAGACTTTGCTCCTTCATCAGTAGAGGCAAGGCTTTGCTTCCTCATCACTAGAGGCAAGACTGCTTTCTCATCAGTAGAGGCAGGGCTTTGCTTCCTCATCAGTAGAGGCAAGGCTTTGCTTCCTCATTAGTAGAGGCAAGGCTTTGCTTCCTCATCAGTAGAGGCAAGGCTTTGCTCATTCATCAGTAGAGGCAAGGCTTTGCTTCCTCATCAGTAGAGCCAGGGCTTTGCTTCCTCATCAGTAGAGGCAAGGCTTTGCTTCCTCATCATTAGAGGCAAGGCTTTGCTCCTTCATCAGTAGAGCCAGGGCTTTGCTTCCTCATCAGTAGAGGCAAGGCTTTGCTTCCTCATTCGAAGAGGCAAGGGTTTGTGGGTTTTGTGTTTTTTATGTGGAGGCAGCCATATTTGCAGAGGCAGGGCTTTGCTTTCCCATCCGTAGGGGCAAGGCTGTGCTCCTTCATCAGTAGAGGCAAGGCTTTGCTCCTTCATCAGTAGAGCCAGGGCTTTGCTTCGTCATCAGTAGAGCCAAGGCTTTGCTTCCTCATCAGTAGAGCCCGGGCTTTGCTTCCTCATCAGTAGAGCCAGGGCTTTGCTTCCTCATCAGTAGAGGCAAGGCTTTGCTTCCTCATCAGTAGAGGCAAGGCTTTGCTCCTTCATCAGTAGAGCCAGGGCTTTGCTTCCTCATCAGTAGAGGCAAGGCTTTGCTTCCTCATTAGTAGAGGCAAGGCTTTGCTTCCTCATCAGTAGAGGCAAGGCTTTGCTTTCCCATCCGTAGAGGCAAGGCTTTGCTCCTTCATCACTAGAGGCAAGACTTTGCTCCTTCATCAGTAGAGCCAGGGCTTTGCTTCGTCATCAGTAGAGCCAAGGCTTTGCTTCCTCATCAGTAGAGCCCGGGCTTTGCTTCCTCATCAGTAGAGCCAGGGCTTTGCTTCCTCATCAGTAGAGGCAAGGCTTTGCTTCCTCATCAGTAGAGCCAGGGCTTTGCTCCTTCATCTGTAGAGGCAAGGCTTTGCTTCCTCATCAGTAGAGCCAGGGCTTTGCTTCCTCATCAGTAGAGCCAGGGCTTTGCTCCCTCATCAGTAGAGCCAGGGCTTTGCTTCCTCATCAGTAGAGCCAAGGCTTTTCTTTCTCATGTCCGAGCTGCCCCCTAAAGACTGGTGGGGAGATGTGGCAAAAGTAGTGAATGAGTTGGAGAAAGCGCAGATCTACAGAATGAATGAAGCAGAAGGAGGGAGATCCTCGCACCTCAGGTCCTCAGGTACAGCTTCCACTCCAACGAGAAGAACAGTGAGCAACACAGAAGTGACATCACCAAATCTCACTCCAAATCTAGCATTCAGAGGCAGCAATGCCTTAGATCCTTGGTTCTCAACTAGTGGGTCGCGACCCCGTGTTCAGTGGGTCACTGCATGCCTTCCACTTTTCTAGGTGAGAGGCTCCTCAGCCTCCCCCTAGCCCAGCACTGTCCATTCTTACAACGAGCAGCCATTCAAAAGATGCTGCCCGGCGCTAAGTGTTGACTTGAGGTGGGGTGGGGGTATTTTTAGCCGCAAAGGAGTTACCTCCATACCTGCATTGCTTATAGCCCCCTCACATGTCCTGTAGAGGTGCCTGGACTGGAGGGACATGACATTCTGGCTTCCTTCACCTCTACAGGCACACATGTGAGCTGTAAAAGCAATGCACATATGGAAGGAGCTCCATCATAGCACAGCAGCCCACACTGCCGTGCGTTCCATTGCAGTGCGACTTGGGTTGCGACTTAAAGGAGAACTATGGGGTCAGTGTTTTTCCCCATAGTTCTCCTTAGGGTAACGGGAGGACACAAACTAGCGTCCTCCCGTCACCCTAGGCTCAGTATATAGGGAGCTACAGCTCGCGGTATACTGAGACGCCGCACCTGGAGCGGATCCCGACGTAGCAGACGGGATCCGCCCAGCTGCGTGAGTGACAGCTGGCTCTGCCTATCTAGAGGCAGAGCCAGCTGTACCCGCCCCCTCCCCCGTCCGTTCCGCCAGTCAGCGCTGGCAGATCGGAGCGGGGAGAGGGGAATCCAGCCCCTCCCCTGTCACGGCAGAGAACCGTGACAGGATCGAGAGGTGAGGGAACCCGGTATGTGTTCGCTCACCTCCCGATCTACTGAGCCGACCTGTGACAGTCTCATTGTCACAGGTCGGCTTAGAACTATGAGGTGAGTGGAAATCACCCCCCCCTCATAGTTCTCCTTTAATGACCGAGGACAAATGTGGATCCTGAGGTTACACAAGTTGAGAACCACTGCCTTAGATGATCTCACGCTGCAAATATACAGGTATGAGGTCACAGGAACAGGAAGTGCGCTGCTTTTTTTCAGGACCAAAGGTGCATTTTTTTAGGGTATTACTTAGGCACAATTGATATTTCTAGATATTTCCTTTGACATAGTAAATCTGCACTTTTTGAAGGTTCAGGTCCATTTAAGGTTCATTGAACGAGTCTATTTTCTGCGAAGCGATAATTGTGTCTCTGAAGAAATAACGTTGGTGATTGTTAACAATATGCGTGTTTTTCCAACAGGTTTTCTCAGTGCAGCGGAGACACGAGGTGTGCTTGCCCCTGACTGGGTCACTACCGCAGTTTGCAACTGAGACTGGAAACAACGACGTCCATGGATTGGCCCCCTCACTCAGCTCGGACTCGCAGTGGTGCTTGTGACTGTTAGATGTGGCTGCATTCATGAATGAAATACCCAGTAAACGTTGTGTTATGACGCCGCCAACAACAAGATCCTAAACAGGTACGGCTCTGCATGGATGGCCCGCACTGGGCAGTGTTGCTGTTGTGTGGGCTTGCTTGCATCCCTTACGTTTTATTTTAGTACAAAATGAAGTGAGCGATATCAGTGCAGTAGTGAAGCTCCTGGGAGCCACCAGTGGTGCAGAATCTGAGGAGAGCTCATAGTAGTTTTTTTCCCGAAGCGTGGGATTTCTGCATATACTTACTTTAAAAAGACCCTTTCGCCAGACCATTCATTTCAAAAACAATCTTCCCATGAAATTATATGAGCATTTCATGTATTTTATTCCTGTTATTACCTGTAAAAAGCCTCCATTGCAGTGGCGTAACAATAGCCATATCGGCCCATGCGGCTGCTATGGGCCCTGGGAAAGGGGGCCCCAATAAGAATTGCAGAAGTTGCTGTTGACACTGACATTAAAGGAGAACTATGGGGTTAAGTCTTCTCCCCCATAGTTCTCCTTAGGGTAACGGGAAGAGACAAACTAGCGTCCTCCCGTCACCCTAGGCACAGTATATAGGGAGCTATAGCTCGCGGTATACTGAGACGCCGCAGCCGGAGCGGATCCCGACAATTGTGCCGGGAGCCGCCCAGCTGCGCTACAGGGGGAGCTATGCTGGCAGCTCTCCTGCTACCTGACTTTAATGTCGTTGACAGTAGGGAGGTTGCTGGGGGACCCCATCAAAATTTTGCTATGGGGCCCCATGATCTGTGGTTTCGCCCTTGCTCCCTTGTGTAGACATCCAAAAGCCCCGAGACTTCTGCTGGGTGCCACCCTTTTAGGATGTGATGTGAGCAGCCCTAACGGACTCAAAGCTGTCACTCAGATGACACTCTATAGTATTCACTCTTCACGTGTTCCACGGCAGCTACATAATGGACTTTGTAGGTAGGAGAAGGGAGGAGCGGAGGAGCTGGACCAGCACAGTGAGTCATTTGGCATTTCCAGAAGAGGAGGGGACTATGACCGGTAAGGGGACACTGCAAGTAATGAAAAAAAAACATTTATGGAAAGGAGATATCCTGCAGTGACCTGCATTTTTTCAAGTTGGTTACAGGGTCTCTTTAAAGTGAACCTGTCACAAATACAGACATATTTTATGCTGGATGCCTGTAATTGCACCCGTATGAGTAGGGATGATCTAAACCTGCACTAAACTGGAGCTCCTCCAAACCCAAAAGCAAGCCTCTTCAGCTGACACCCAATCGGCTGTGGCCAGGGAATTCCCAGCTTGCCGTTGCACTAGGTAAAGGGGTGGGATGCCCTGATGTCACTGTCCTTATATGGACACATGTCTATAGTTCAGTGGTTCCCAACCTGTGTAACCCCCACAGCTGATTGGTCGGGTGGCCCCATGTCCCTTCCGGGTTCAGAAGAGCTCAGATTCGGGCTGGGTCTGGTCCGAACCTGAGCTCATCCTCTATACATGAGCCCTTCGATACAAGGATACTGTCAGCACTGTTGAAAGGTTACAATCTTGCCAGTACATTCCCAGACTTCCCGGTGTAGTGCAGCACTACAAATCAAAAGGAAAGTGCATCGGCCTTGTGCAATGTCTTCAGTAAAACTTTATTTAAAAAAATGAGATCTCATACTCATGAATGTAAAACATCCTTCAATACACTGAGTACAGGCGAGAACCTGCCAAGTCCATCTTACATCACACAGCCGCTACCATAGAGCCTAGTGCTGACACGTTTTGAGGGCAAATCCCTTTCCTCAGGGAGTCCACCTTTAAATAGTCATATCGTTCATCCTTCTGATACTTAAAGTAGTATTAAGGTCTGGGGGCATTCTCTGCCTTAGGGTAAAAACAGCCCAGCACCTTTTTTCTACCCCAGTTTCCCCCAAACTTACCTGTCAGCTGCGCTCGTCCTCGCCGCCAGTCCTGAATCGATCCTCCATACTCCGAACTTCCGGGTTGCAGGGGAGGATACTGATGGCAGAGGAGCCATAGGCTCCTTCTGCCATCAATCAAAGAGGGAAGGGGCGTGGCCTGCCACAGG